ACATTTAATACACTCAACGGGAAACACATCTGCCACATCATATAGACTGTGATCAAAGTCTCGCTACAAATGTTTTGAAGCATTTGATAAACCAATTAGAAGAAAGAATTTTACAAACTGATCAGTTAAAAAACGCTTCAAAGCGTTTGCAGCATCACGTTGACCATACCCATAATTGAACGATATATATAATATAAATATATAGCCAACACAGAAATGTCAAAACATTAAATTGTGTTGTACATAGAAAAAAATAATATATTACAAAAAGAAGAATTTGGCAGTAAATTAATGTTCAATCCATAACATTTAATTCGTCCAAAAAATGTATATATACATAATTCTGGCATAAAATAAATTTATTCTTTTTTTATCTCCTATTTCTAATTTATTTTGCACATACATTACGATAATTATCTCTACCCTACTTTCCTATAATTAAAAATGTCCAATTAGAAAATTACAAATTAATCAAATTATAAGGACATTGCATGTCGTGAAGTACAGATTTTAAAGGCGATATTTATTCCTAAAAAGAGAAATTATCTAAATTTTTTGTTTTAAAAAAAAACAAATAAATTTTTCAAAGATGTTGTGGAAAATCCATTATTAAAATTAATTATATTCGATATGACAATGATAAAAATTCTTTCATTTTTCCTCTAAATTTTATCATTTTTTCATTTCGTAATTCATTAATTATTTCATCGTATCGTGATTGAAAGCTATAATATAATAATGTCAATGTCAACTGAAGATGTATTACGTTTTTTAGCTACTTCATCGATTCTCGAGTTATCCTAATGTAAAAATAACATACTTTATTAACTGTATTTATATCATACAGCACGGTTATTACCGGCATGGAGCTCGAGAATTCATTCGAGCTCATTCGAGCAAAAACTTAAAGAAGAATCAGATCATGAAATGTATATACGTTGGCATGACGCACTGTCTAGATATTAAAACAACGAATTATCTAGGATGGCGTGAGGACAAGGAATTGCGGAATTATGCGGCAAAGGATCGATTCGTCCGGCGAGACGATTCGATCATCGTCCTTGCCTTCGTCGGATGCTCCGTGGGTGGGTCTCTGCTCTGCCAAAAAAAGAAATGATCAGAGAGAAATGATTCGGCTGTGCTGTGGAAAAGATACGGCCCATATATGGTGTAATTGAGACGTCCGTTACATGCAGGTCCTGCCTAGTGATAGCGAAACAGAACTCCGCCGAAATTCTGCAGGGAATTCGTTATTCTTAAGAATAGATCACGTGATTATGTTCTTTAAATTACGATTGTGGGATTCAGAAGGAGACGAGAATTGATTTTTGATGACTAATAATAATTCGAATGAGCGTCAACGGACTACATTGTTCCGCGGTGGAGAAATGCGATCGGGCGTGATGCGTGCTGCGGTCCAGCGATTGACCAATCGCCGTGCGGCACGACGTCATCGTCGGCCAATCAGCGCGCGCTGGAACGGTCGATTCCAGCGGGTATAAATTGCGCGTAGTAGGCTCCGCACGCCCAATAGTCGCTGGTCGCCGATCGTACGTCGTATAGTTGTTAGCAAAAGCTCCATTACTTGCTTTCGCCAACTATCGATCGCCCCGTGGTGGCTATATCCTGTTCCATTTTCTAAGAGGACAACGAACAACCCATAATACAAAATGGTAAGTCGCCGAATTGTCGGATTTTTCCTTCTGCGAGTACAATCGCGATTTTTACCGTGTCGGCGTCGCCCTTCTCGTCAAAGACGACGGCCATTTTGTAACGGTTAAACGCCGGCCGGTCGTGGCGTTTGCTAAATTTAGATTGCGTCACCCCGCCTTTATCCAAAAATTACAAAGATTTTTATCGCGTATCCATTTAATTCTTGCTATTATTACTCTGTTACTTAGAGAAAATTGCTGTTTCCGTTATAAGTCCAAGCATATTCTATGAGCAAAAGCCATTGACCTCGATGAGCCATTTCAGAAAATCAATATGACGCTTTCCCTTGTGTTCATCATTGGAGATTTCTAGCAAGAAACGAGTTGATACAAATTATTAGTTATGTTTAATCCGCTCGTCGAGCGATCAGGGTTACTTCCAAGTTGTCCTTTTCGTAAAATATTTTACTCGATATAATGTACGTTACATGTACTATATATTTCAAATAAGTTTTTTATAATGTAATCCAGATTTATATTAAAAGAATTAATCATATTCAATTACTTGAGGCTAGCTGTATTCCGTTATGTTCACTGCAAATACTAAAATTTTATAATACATATATATATTATAGATTTTCAATATACTCGCAGTAAATATATTGTACGTATAATGGAACCCATTCTTTGAACACTCCCATTCTGTCTTTGTTTGATACTGAGTGAGAGGTTACATTCCATGATGGCGCTTTCAACGCTAATGCTGTTTTTATCTACGAGTTCATTTGATGCCACAAATATTTCGATTTTGTAATCGGTCAATTAGTAAAATTTTTTCTTTTTTAGTCAACCAAACAAATACTTTACAGTATTTATGTCAAGTAAACTTCATTTTTTATCATCCATTAAATGTAAAACAATAAATATGATCTAATCATATCTTTGAATGCATCCAAAGATAAAAGGCACTTAACATTTAGATACAAATCTATACAAATATTGTCTTTATTACAATGCATTTAGAAAGGTGATATTTATGTCCATCTTTATCGTTCATTATATTTACAACAAATATAGAATAATGCAATAGCGTCTCCCTGATGCCATGGAATGTTAAGAAAGAACAATGTTTGTGTCGACTTATCATCAACTGTAATGCTCAATATCTCTTGTATCAACATGTACCTCTTGCTAGGAAGCTCTAATATTAGTCATTTGTCACTGTTTTGTAAAAGCCTGAGCATGATACGATGAGATATGCTTAATGTTCTTTTTAATTCATTTAGCGTGAGTGCATCTCAATCCACGTTGGACAAGCTGGTGTACAGATTGGTAATGCTTGCTGGGAGCTGTACTGCCTGGAACATGGCATTCAGCCGGATGGTCAGATGCCGTCTGACAAGACTATCGGAGGTGGAGACGACAGTTTCAACACCTTCTTTAGCGAGACTGGTGCCGGCAAGCATGTACCCAGAGCTGTCTTTATCGATTTGGAACCTACTGTAGTCGGTATGTATATTTAGTCCTTACTCTTTGACTTGGTACCTAACAAATTTTACTTACTTAAATGTTTATATGTACAGATGAGGTTCGCACTGGAACTTATCGTCAGCTCTTCCATCCGGAGCAATTGATCACTGGCAAGGAGGATGCTGCAAACAACTACGCTCGCGGTCATTACACGATTGGCAAGGAGATCGTTGATCTCGTGCTGGACCGCATTCGCAAGCTCGCAGACCAATGTACCGGCCTGCAAGGATTCCTCATCTTCCACTCATTCGGTGGTGGCACCGGTTCAGGCTTCACATCCCTGTTGATGGAGCGTTTGTCTGTTGACTATGGCAAGAAGTCGAAACTCGAATTCGCTATTTATCCCGCACCACAAGTTTCCACTGCCGTGGTCGAGCCATACAACTCTATCTTGACGACGCACACTACTCTTGAGCATTCCGACTGCGCATTTATGGTTGACAATGAGGCGATTTATGACATTTGTCGTCGCAATTTGGATATCGAGAGACCAACCTACACGAATCTTAATCGCCTGATCGGCCAGATTGTATCGTCCATCACGGCCTCTCTGCGATTCGATGGTGCCCTGAACGTCGATCTAACGGAATTCCAGACCAACTTGGTGCCCTACCCGAGAATCCACTTCCCGCTGGTGACGTACGCGCCCGTTATTTCGGCCGAGAAGGCTTATCATGAGCAACTCTCCGTTTCGGAGATCACAAACGCCTGCTTCGAACCAGCTAATCAGATGGTCAAATGTGACCCGCGTCATGGCAAGTACATGGCCTGCTGCATGTTGTATCGTGGCGACGTCGTACCCAAGGACGTCAACGCGGCAATCGCTACCATCAAGACGAAGCGTACCATTCAATTCGTCGACTGGTGTCCCACCGGTTTCAAAGTCGGCATCAACTATCAGCCACCGACCGTCGTGCCCGGCGGCGATCTTGCCAAGGTTCAGCGTGCCGTTTGCATGTTGTCGAACACCACTGCCATCGCGGAGGCCTGGGCTCGTTTAGATCATAAGTTCGATCTTATGTATGCCAAGCGTGCATTCGTGCATTGGTATGTTGGCGAAGGTATGGAGGAAGGAGAATTCTCCGAGGCACGCGAGGATCTCGCCGCGCTCGAGAAAGATTATGAGGAGGTTGGAATGGATTCCGCAGAAGGTGAAGGCGAAGAGGGTGCCGAGGAATATTAAAATACAATTATTGCTCGCCCTTTTATCTCCTGATTTTGAAATATCTTATGTGTTTTGAAATAAAGTAACTGAATCCATTTGCCACGCAAATTTGTGTCTAATTGATACACTATCCTTGTCTTGAATCACAGAACTTTATCTGTCGACCACACTAAAAATATTAAACTTGTTACTTGTTTATTATGTTACTTTTAGCACATCGTCCAGATAAATTTTTTTACGCAATGATTATATAATTGTATCATTATCATTACAAAACAAATTTTTGTCTAGCTGAAGTTTTCTGAAATATGTTTAAAAAAATTTAATGGCATGTATTCATTACGTGTTTGTTGTCTATTCAAAATGTGCGTTCTTGTTTTTCAAAAATAAAGTGTAGCTTTTTATTAAGAGAAAATGGTAATAGTATTTAAAAAATCATAATACTATTGAAAAAATAATTTATTATATATTTTTTTACAATTTTATGATTAGACTCATTACGTCCATATACAAATATTCACATGATCCTTTAAATTTAATTAACATTTAACTACAATACATTTCGTAAAAAGCGAGAAATTTTATTGAATATTTATCCATGATCAACTTTAAAAAAACAATGATTTATGTAAATTTGAAAAACTAATTTATAATTTAGCAACATTGATTCAATCATCGTATTCCAAGACAAAATCTTCATCATAATTAAATTCTTCGTCCTCTGAATAATAATCCAGATATTCAGCGTGAAAATCAAAATCGTCATCGTCATCCAGTTCGTCGGGTATCATACCGCGATATAACATGTTGAAACATTTGGAATCCGGATTTCGAAAATGTAAGTAAGGCGCCTCGGGATTCAGCCGCGTGCCGCACAGCCAACAGAAATACGTGCCGCAGTGCGAACAAGTCATCTTGTTACAGCCATCCGATTTCTGAAACAATTCGCCAACATATGTGTTAATCACCCGATAACAAGCATAATCTTGTATCTATGAAACAAATTTGATTTTGCACCTCGATTGCAGTTTTACAATGAGGACAGTTGTGGCTATTATCATTAATCCAATTTTCAGACATTGTATTCTCTAACATCGTTTGAAGCTGTCTCTTGCCGTAATGCTTTTCCATTTCGGCCTTCTTCTCGTTACTGGCTGATTGATATTCATTCAATAATCGTTGTTTCTCAGCTATTAATAAAATCAACACGATGTGTATTAATATTAATATAAAATATAAATTCTAACGAAATTTTTGTTTGGAACTAAATGATATAAAAGCGAATAGCTTATTATATGGAGTGGTGTGTCAATTTAAAAACTTAGCTTGATATCATTGATGTAATCTACTGAAGCAAATATATTGAAAAAAACTTTGTTTCTCGAAAGCATTAATTAAGTGACTTACATCATTATATCTTTCATCCCTCCATATGTAGAATGCAAATATTACTCACAGGATTTAGATGCATACCTGAACTAATTTTGCAGGGTTCTACCCCATGGTAAACCATCTTACAACGAATACAGAATGCATATTGACAAACGGGACATCTCGCCATGTTATCATCAGGATCGCGAGTGACTGGATACTGACAGTGTCGTCTTGGACAATAAACTATATCCATCATAGTATCTAACGTAGTACTTAACAATAAGGAATCGTACTTTGAAAATAACTCCGAACTTACCAACTCTTTTACCTATAATAAAACATACACACAAGTATATCACAAGTACACAATAAAATCAGTAAGATACTCAATATGAATGCAATATGAATTATACAATATAAATACAATATAATTAATATAATATGATATATGAAATAGTTACTTGGCCGGGCGTAGCCTCAAACTTGCACTTCTCTTCAGGACAACAAATATTCTGTACATTTCCATCTTTGATCTTTACTTCAAAATAACCCCTAATGCAATCTTTACAGAAAGTATGGGCACAAGGCAAAAACTGTGTACAATGCTCCCCTGATTTGTCGGTGAAGCAGATATTACATGTGTAAAAATTCTTTTTGAATTCAATTTGCTTTCGCTTCTCGTTATAATCGATCAACATCTGAATAGGATTCCTACCGATCGGACAGTCTAAAATGGCTCTTTTGTCGATGACACTGGTTTTTTTGGACACACCACTGTCTCTGTTGACTTCGCTGTTAGATTGCTTGTTAGGCTCATTTACTTCCTTGTTTGTCTGCGAGCCTTGTAATTTTTCCACTGTTCTTTTATAAGATGTGTACATGCAATCCATATCTATACGGTCCTTTATCTTTAAATAGCTAAGTGTTTTATCCTGGAGAAACTCTACCCAAATGAACAAAATCTCCTGCTTGCTGTTCTCCCATAATATGTCGAGTTTTCTGCATAACTTAGACAATACTACTGGATACAACCAAGAGGAGCATAACATAAACGTAGGTGCCGACATGGATGGATAATCCTCCGGCAGTGTGACGTGCAATGTCAAGGGTGGTAGATATGATATCTGTACTTCCTGCGCCAAATCTACTTCGTGTCTCAGATCCTTGTATGACAAATGACATTTTGCTGGCAGATTTACAAATATTTTAAAAGTACATTCAAATCGGCCGTTCTCTTCGTGATACGAAAATTCTTCTTCAGTGTAAATGCTTTCCAACGCGGTGACCTCGTCCTTTTGTTTCTCGTAGTCCATCGACTGAAAAACAGAGCCGATTATCGGACTCTAAATCACGCGTACATTTTCTGATAATGAAAACAAATCTCTTATTTACCAAATCTGGAAGCTCTGAGCGCTCTTAAACGGGCTACGTTAGGTCTCACGGTTAATCGTGACGCACTTTGCGATTTGGCTATCAAAAGCGGAGCATGTTGTGCGGACGACCGTTTGAGATGAGGAGGTTATGCGCTCGAGTCGAGTTCCGGAGCAATTTCACGTTTACTCCGAATAGCTGCGAATTCGTTATGCGGCCTGCCCGAGGATCTTAAGGTGCCAAGTGATGAGGCACAAGTAGAAATCTCGTACACTGCCTCGTGAATAACGCAACAATGCGTAACAAGACTTATACACCACGATGAAAGAACTTGATGACACTGCGCGTAGTGCACTGCACAGCGCTCAACTACTTGACATGACTAGTTTTTTTGTTTTTTTTTGTTTTTACGTTTATAATGAAAGATCAAAGAAATGCAAGAGTACATTATTCAGGAATAATACATCGTAATTATTATTTTTAAATATAAGTAATTTTAAACAATAATATTAAATAAAATATCATATATTATTTAAACTCGGTATATGTTGTTTCATGAACAAAATTTAATAAACGAAGCAAGGTTCTACCGAAGAATACCAACAAAAACAACATTAAACACAATAAAATAATAATAATTAAAAAAAAGAAATGATATATAATAAATTCAGAGAAAGAAGTACAGTTCTTTACTCATTTATATTAAATTTCATTTCGATATTTATTTTGATTATTTTTCCTCGGATATTTTTCTTCAATATTTTTATTATTTTCGGCGACTTATCGATTTTCGAGGCAGTCTCGTAGTGTCTTCGGTGGCCAAAATGGACATGTTCTTATCTCAATCCGAGTATTGTATCATCTTTAATTTTTCAAAGTTTCTACAAAGTTTAACATTTTATTTATTTTATTCCACTTTTTTATTACACGGTTATACTAAAAGTTTGGACTTAGTTGTTATATATCGAAGGAGATTAGGCTAAAGATCTTCGAGATATATCGAGATCGCATACATATTACATATGGCGGCGCCCAGGAGATAAATGTTCAGTGCATGTTCGATCAGTTCAGTGTTGATGCATTATGTTACAATGGCATTATTGGCATATCGTTGACACGTCGAAGTCGACACGAAGCCAACGCCGGGCTTTCCGTTTATCACGGCCGCTTATCGCCCTCGTCAATCGTTGACGAGGCAAGTGCTCGAAAATCGAGACCGGTGTCCGAACGTTCATTCAACATTTCAACGATGAGTACCGAGGACGAAACGTTGAAGTCGTCAATCCCGATATACGTTAACGCGATGATGTCCGTGTGCGCGTTCGGCTTGACCGTACATCTGATTCCGAGGATAAAATCCATGTTTGTCCAAGCTAACCTCTACGGTGTCGACATGAACAAGAGATGCAGTGGAAAAATGTGAGTGAGGATACCTGAACTTAATACCGTTTAAGCTTTACCTCCTGGAGCTGATTGATTCCACGATATACATTTGTTAATTTTAATATTAAAGCACATAATTATAATCTTTTCAATTTTTATCCCGTGGAGTTGATCAGTTTGCCTTTCCAGAGGCTCGTTTGAATATGAAATATTTCATTGTTTTTGTATGTTTTTCTATCGATCGTTCTGTATGTAACAATAGGCCTGTTCTTTTTGGCTAAACTTTTGTACCAGTTCATCTTTCTTCCTTTTCTCTCTAGGAGGAAAGAAGAGGAAGGAAGATGAACTGGTGTAAAAGTTCAGCTAAAAAGAACAGGCTTATTGCTTGACACGACCGACTGTACTTTTACAGACCGGAGGCGATAGGTGTTGTCACTGGATGTGTATTTCTTATAACAATGTTCCTATTTATTCCTGTACCATTTACTGATTGTCTATTTAGGAATGTAAACTTTCCACACAATGAGGTACAGTATAGATATCAGTCAGAAAGTATAGCTAATTTCTTTCTTTTCTATTCTGATTATAGAAAATTAAACTAAAGCTGCTTTTCTTTTAGGAAATACAATTGTTGACACAAATATTTTATCTTTGTTATTCATTGAGAATGCCAAAAAGAATGACGTTTGTATTATTTCCTAAAAAGAAAGCAGCCTTCTAAGATTAATCAATAACTTAATTGGAAATGACTTACATTTAATCTAAAAATATAAGATATAAAATACGATATTCTATATTATTCTCTAATTTTAAAACATACGTAGATTTGTAACCAATGTAAAGCACAAGCTTTCTATTACAGTTTGTTGATTTTCTGGCTGCATTATTGTCCATATGTTGCATGCTACTCTTGGGCTTTGCCGATGATGTTTTGGATCTTCGTTGGCGGCATAAATTACTTCTACCAACTATAGCATCTTTGCCATTACTGATGGTTTATTATGTCAACTTTAACTCTACTATAATCATCGTACCAAAGCCGTTGAGATCATGGTTTGGTTTTTCGTTGGATTTATGGATTTTTTATTATGTATATATGGGAATGTTAGCAGTGTTTTGTACAAACGCTATAAATATATTAGCCGGGATAAACGGTTTAGAGGTTGGGCAAAGTTTAATCATCGCTACAAGTATTCTCATCTTTAACATTATCGAGTTATTTGGCAGTCAATGGAAAGCGCATCAGTTTTCAATATATTTTATGCTGCCTTATATAGCAACTTCCTTCGCATTATTCAAATTTAATTGGTAAGTTAGACTAAAAGTATTTTTTATTCTAAAATATTACTAATAATAACAATTATATTATCATAATATGATATAAAAAAAAGAAATATTTGGATAAGGGGAGTTTCAAATTGTCAGGCATATAAGTTGTATGTATAAACCATTTAACATTTATATTTTGTCAACGTAATATTTTAGTGTATAAATTTAGTATAATATTACATTAGTGTACATTGAGTATTGAGTATGAGTTAATATCACAGTCGGGTGCGACCAGTACGTCAGTAATAATCTAATTTAGCGTAAAAATTCTCTACCAACCAGTCGTACTTCCACGTATTATTGAGAATCGTTTCTGGCGCGAAGTAGGAATCCCTAGACTTGGAGACTCTCAGAAGATTGGTTTTACCGTCTAACCACAGTCCACTACCTATTAGGTCCTCTACAAACGGCACGTCGATAGTCTTCTCGATATAAATCTCCTTAGATTGAACTTTATTGCGAAGACCGATAATAATATTTGCGGGCGCCTGGCATAGATTACAGTACCATCCGCCGTAATGATTCAAATCTCCTATGACTAATCCCAAAATATCTCTCTCGCTGGTGTCTCCGTCCAACTGTTGTCGCAATACAAGCGAGTTGGATTGATAGGCATTGCGCATCAAACCGACGGTGTATGCGCCGAGTGTGATCGTTGTCTTTAGCGGATGTTGCCAAAAGAAGCCGTATATTGACCATCTTAATCTAAATCCGATGGGCTGAGGCCAACCGTCGTAAACTTTGAGGAACATTAATGCCCTGGAGTTCAGTATCTGCTCCGGCTCCGTTGTCACGTAGATGTCGTCGTCTTTTAGACTCTGCACCACAGTCTTGATTTTATCCCAGACATATCTCGATACTGTCCGGGATGGTTTGTGGGACTTGGTTGCCACGTTGATGTACAGAATCTTCTTTTGCTCTCGCTGTAACAGTCCTTTGGACAGTTTGTGCCGGAAATTATCCTCCGCGTTATTGAAATCACAAATTACAAAAAGGTCCACCACGTTGTAAAGTTCCTCCACTATCACCTCAGCGATCGCCGAGTTGTAGTCGCTTATAAAAAAGGTGTGAATAATGTGCCTGGCAGTTTTGCGACGTTTCAGGCTAACGTTCTGCTTCGACGCCATGATTGCCCTCCACACGACTTCTGGTTGTCCGCAATCCAAGCCATGCCATCCTTGATTGCAGATACATCTTTCCAAATGCTCATTGCTTTTCATTTTACGCTGGTCCACTCCATATTTCCAGCATACGGTATGATTGTATACTTCAAACAGCCTAAACGTCTTGACATCTTTCAACGCTACCTCCCCATTGATTGTCTGATAGATTGACGACTTCTTACGATTGCCCTGATTTACGTGCAGTTCCTTCAATTAAAAAAAAATTAGTTCTAGTGTATTTCCAATAAATACATCGGTTTATATGGTCAATCACAAATTCGCAGCACCTGCGATGCCTCAAACTTGACGAAACTGACGGATGCACGAGTCGTAGATGCAGCTAGCTCGGGCGGCGGAGTTGTGGCGACATAGATCATAACAATCAGAACTTGCAAGACCAATAGAGTATACAGCAACGCCAGCTTCCCATCTAGACGGACCTGCATGGCACTGATCCCTGCGCTCAGATAGTTCAATTTCTCATCTTACGTTCTCGAAGAGAAATCTTGGTAGCTGTCTGAGACATCTTCGTTGAAATTACAGTCTCATGAGTATCATCTGAAAATATAATCAGTAACTTAAATTTATATTTTTAATTTTCAATTTTCGATTTTTTTTGTTTTTGGTTAAAGAGATCCACAATATTTTACACCGTGCATTTTTACTTAAAACCCACTCTAGACGATCTATAACTTGTTTTAGAATACAGGATGGAATTCTATTTATAATTTTATGTGCTGTGCAGAGAACAATTGAAGAATCGGAATGCATATGCATATATATGTATATATATATATATATAAATAAAATATATATAACATACGTATATATTACA